AAAAAAAAAAAAAAAATTTAATTTGGGGACTGATTGGTGCTGTGGTGGTTAAGGCACTGGACTTCCACGTGGCCAACCACAGTTCAAGTCCCAGACCTAGCAGCTTGTTTTCTAACTTTCCCTCACTCTCTCTCTCTCTCTGTCTCTCTCTCTCTGGTCAAGTCAAAAAATAATAATAGTTAATTTTTTTTAATTTTTAGATTTTCGGGGCCAGCAGGTGGTGTGATGGATAGGGGCGCCAGATTCCCACATGGCCAACCCTGGTTCAAGTCCTGGACCTGGTGGCTTGCTTTCTCGCTTTCCCTTTCTCTCTCTCTCTCTCTCTCTGATAAAATTAAAAAAATAACAAAAACAAATGGAATTAAATAAATAAATAATTCTTTTACATTTTTTTTTTAGATTTTCCTCTTCAGCCGGGAAGGACGTTGCTGTTGAGGCACAGTAACTGCCATGGATTCCAGTGCTTTGGCAAAACCTCAGATGTGCGGCCTTCTGGCCAAGCATCTGCGATTTCATGTTGTTGGAGCATTCATTGTATCTCTGAGTGTTGCAGCTTTCTATAAGTTTGCTGTGGCTGAACCAAGAAAGAAGACATATGCAGATTTCTACAGAAATTATGATTCCATGAAAGAGGAAGGCTGGTATCTTTCAGAATACAAAGTGATTTTGGAATGTAAAAAATGCCATTGCATTGGTGCCATGTTCCTGAACTATGAAACATGAATACATGGGCTAAAGAATAGTTTCTCTTGATAAATAAATACTGTAGACAGTAAAAATAAAATAAAATAAATAAAATTTTAAGAGAGATTTTTGCTATATGTCATATGCCTTCACCAGAGAAACAAAGACAGTGAGACACAAAGTGAGTGAGAAATCAACCCCCAGGGGGAAATGGCAACACCGCAATCCCTTCTCTTCCTTTCTCCTCTGGGGATTTTGGGCATGCAAGCACATACACTCAGGAGTTTCAAGCCTCCAAGTCTGCGCCTTGAACTACAGTCAGCCATGTGGAAGTCCAGCGATGTAACCATTACGCCATCTGCTGGTCCCTTAAAAATTATTTAATTTTGTCTCTCTGTCTCTCTTGTCAGAGAGACAGAAAAGTGAAAAAGTAACCCCTGTCCCCCATGAAGCAGAGTCATGATGCGATCCCTCTTCTCCATTTCTCCCTCCCTTCAGTATCTTGGGCATGGTCAGGGACTAAGGCCATGTGAGATCCAACTAATTTAACCACTAAGCCAGGGTCTGGTCCAAAAGATGCTAACTTGATGGGACTTATGCTATCCCTCTCTTACCATACTCCAAAGCAAGTATGTTTAAAGAATTTTGTTCAACAGGCTTGCTCCAATTTCAACTCCAATTCACTTTATTTAAAGAATTATTTATTATTAGTATTAGTATTATGTAATTTGCTATAGGGCATATACACTCACCAGAGAGAGAGGAGAAAGTGAGAAAGTAAGCCACCAGGTCCAGGACTCGAAACGCAGTGGACCACGTGGGAGTCCAGAGCCTTGAGTACTGTACCATCTATCATGACTTTCCCTTACCCAAACCACATCCCATTCTACAGAGGAGAGGGCTGTATCCACTAAACGAAAGGAGGAACAACAGAGGTCAAAAAGCCAATAAAGGGCCAGCTGTGATAGCATAGCAGTGAGATGCTGTTTTACGGAGCTGGGTCCATGTGGAAGATCAAGGCTCACTCCCCAGGTCCACCTCTATATGCCAGACAGGAACACGAGTGCCCTTGATTCTGGCTGCCTGAAAAGGTTGGGAGGAGGATCATAGTATGAAATCCTGTTGAGGGTGCCTCATGAAATAAGTATATAAATAAACACGAAAAAAAGAAAGGGGGGCTGGCAAGTGGTGTGGTGGTGAAGGCGCTAGACTCCCACATGGCCAACTGCAGTTCAAGTCCTAGACCTGGCAGCTCTCTCTCTCTGCTCAAACTGAGTAGTAATAATAATAATAAAATTAAATGAATAATTTTTTTAGTTATAAAAAAAAGGGAAGGAAATTGTCAGACTTCAAATGGAAAATAACCTGGCACAATGCAGTTTAGCCATCTAAAATAAATTAGATACTAGTAAATGGTCATTCCTTTAAATATTCTTCCATTTGTTTTCTGATCCGCCATCTGCAGTGGAACTGCCATTAAGATGCAGATTTTCGTAAAAACTCTTACAGGGCGGACCAATAATTGGCGTAATAGCTATGTCGCTGGACTCCCATGGAGTCAACTGTAGTCCAAGTCCCGGACCTGGCTGCTTAAACTCACGCCAGTTGTGTGTGCGTGCGTGCCCAAGATCCTGAGAGAACGGAGGAGAAGGGATTGCAGCGTGGCCATCCCTCCCACTCCCAGAAGGTGATTTCTCGCTTTCTCTCTGTCTCTCCAGCGAGAGCATGTGCTCTATAGGAATCTCTTTCTGGCGAGTGCACGCGCCCTATAGCAAAAAACTCAAAAAAAAAAAAAAAAAAACCCTTACAGGGAAGACCATCACCCTTGAGGTTGATCTATCAGATACAATAGAAAATATAAAAGCCAAAATCCAGGATAAGGAAGGAATTCCTCCTGATCAGCTAAGACTGATTGTTGCTAGCGAGCAGCTGGAAGATGGGTGTACTTTGACTACAACATCCAAAAGGAGTCCACGCTTATCACTCCCACGAAGGATAAGTATAAGAGGGGTAAGCTGGCTGTCCTGAAATACTATAAGGTGGATGAAAATGGCAAAATGAGTTGCCTTCGTCGGGAGTGCCCTTCAGATGACTGTGGTGTTGGGCTTTTCATGGCCAGCCATTTTGACAGACATTATTGTGGAAATGTTGTCTGACTTACTGCTTCAACAAACCAGAAGACAAGGAATTGTTTATGAGTTAATAAAAGAAATGAACTAACCTTTTAAAAAAATAATAAAAATAACATTCAATTTTAATTTCTTATGTTTAACATTTGTGCTTAAATAATACAGTTAAAAGAAATTGTTAAAACATGGATAAAGTTTATTTTTAATATACTATTATATAATAGACAAAGAATGCAAAATTTTATTTAAAAATATTAGCAGTCCCCTTTTATTAATAACATAACAAATATTTATTTATTTAAATTTTTTTTTAGACTTTTTGCCATAGGGTGCATGCACTCGCCAGATAGAGACAGAGAGTAACACAGAGACAGGGAATATGAGAAATCACCTCCCCCAGGGGAGATGGCCATGTCTCAATCCCTTTTCTTCCATTTTCCTTGTGGGACTTTGGGCATGCATGAACACATGCCCAGCGTGCGTTTCAAGCTGCTGGGTCCAGAACTCTAACCAGGGAGTCAGCCAGAATCCAGTGCCTTCACCACCACACCACCTTCTGCCCCTGAGATATTTATTTTTACATTTAAATTATCTTAAGATTTAATAACAGTAATTAGCTACAGTGTGGCCAAGAAATGAAAATATACAAAATAGTTGTAGGAACACATGTGTTTCTCCCTGCTGCTATGCTTATAAATCATATAAACATACATATTTATTTTCAAAATACTTGAAAATGAAACCAGTTCATCAAAGTTTTACCAATGTATAAGAAATCTTTTATGCTAAAAAAAAAAACTGAAGCAGAAATAACATTTCCAATGTAATTTTCTAATGTCTTAAAGATCACATCAATTCTACAAATTACAATTTTTGAGGATAGAATTTTAACTGTTGCCCTCCCATTTCTGTCATGCTTATAATAAAACATAAAAAGTACTCTAAACACAACCAATGAAATTCTTACATTTTAAACCATTTTGTTAATATAAAGGATAACAATTTAAATCATATTTTACATTTCTACTTAAGTTTATATTGCACTAAAATTATTTTACATGGAAGAACTATTTGATGTATCAAGACATAATACCTTAGAAACATTGTTTGATATTCACATCTACATTAATGAATATTTCACAGTCCACTTAAATAAATTTTCTAGCATACACCAAATCTCACAGAAACAAATCTATAATGCTACTGTGTTTTGAGAGTAAAAACATTCAATATTTATTATTACTGATTTTGGGAAATACATTGACTTTTAAAAACACACTTAAATCACTCATAGTACCTGGTAATACTATTTGAGCAAAATCTGATGATTTATTTTGGAGCCTTTGAATGACTACTTTTAAGAATGTTTTATTTAACTTTATGTATTTATTCATTTATTTTATTTTAATTTGATCAGAAAGGGACAGAGAAAGAGAGAGAAAGTGAGAAAGCAAGCCACCAGAGCCGGGACTCGAACCGCGGTCAGCTATGTGGTAATCTAGTGCCCTTAACCATCTTGCCACCTGCAGGCCCCTTAATGACTACTTTTTAAATACAACATTTATTTTGTTCAAAATGTGTAAAAAAAAAGTGTATGTCCTTTCATCCAAAGAACAGAATTATGAGAAGAGAGTAAGAATACTACTTCAGTGCAGGCTATTTTATAGACTTTTAAAACTCAGTTTTCATCATTCTGCTGTAATATAACCAAATAGGCTTATTTAAATAATAATAAACCACACTGGCATCTTTTAAAAATCATAATTACAATTAAAAGCTTGAAACAGCACGATAAAGCTAATGGCAACCTCTTACATCCGTTTTGAAGTTTGTTCTATTGTCAAATAACACTTTAAAACAGTTTCAACTAGCCTAACTGATCAGCCAGCATCAGCTTAGAAATATTTTTCAATGTTCTAAGGTATAACGTTTGGCATCAAAAAGTATGGTAAGCACTTTTGATTTGTGACCCAGAAAAAAAAAAATCAAGTAGTAAAATACCAGTGGTTCCTGTGACAGGGGTAAATATCCCCTTTCAAGTACTGTTCCCCTGACAATTAAAGTAACATTTTCTTTCTTCCTCTGAGTTCATTAAAGAAAAGAAACCATGATTGTTTTTTAGTTGAGGTGAAAAACCTGCTTCATAAGTTCATATGTTGTAAAAGCCACTGCTTGTGAAGGAATGCAGCGAATGTAATTGAGAGATAAACCACGATATAATCCTTTTCGAATTCCATGGTGTCCATAGACATACTTCATAGTCTCCCACATGGTACTGAAAGACAAGGGTTAGATATCATACACCTGTACCCACTCACAGAGACAATTTCAGGATTCATAATACTTACTTTTAATTTGCTAGAAGGCAAGTACACTCATGGGAGAGAGATAGAGAGAGAAGAAAGTCCCCTATGGAGGATGGTCACACCACAATATCTTCCCCTCCATTTTTCTCTTCTGTAGGAATTTTAGGCATGCATGCAAACACACCCAGACTGTTTCTGAAGCCACGGGTCTGGACTCAACTATGCAGTTATATGGGATGCAGCTGCTCTAACCACCATGCTACCAGCTGGTCCCACAATAACATTTTATTCATTCATTCATTCATTTTAACTTGACCAGAGAGGGGCAGAGACAGAGAAAGAGAAAAAGTGAGAAAGCAAGCTGCCAGCTCCGGGATTCGAACCGCGGTTGGCCATGTGGAACTCTAGCACCCCTAACCATCATGCAACCTGCTGGCCCCCCCACAATAACTTTTTTGTTTTTAAGAATTTTTTTAGCTAGCTAGCTTGCTTGCTTGCTTTCAATTTGACCAGAGAGAGACAGAGTGAGAAAGAGAGAGAGAGAAGGGAAGCAAGAAAGCAAGCCGCCAGGTAAGGGACTCAAACCAGTCAGTCATGTGGGAGTCCAGTGCTCTCCACCATGGTTCAAGTCCTGGATCCAATGGCCTGAAAATCATGCCAGAAGTGTGTATGTGTGTGTACCCAAAATCCGGAGAGAAAAATGGAGGAAAAGGGACTACACATGCCATCCACCTGGGAGGTGGTTTGTAACTTCCCCTCTCCCTGTCTCTGTCTCTCCAAGACTGCACAAGCTCTATGGCAAAAAGCAATCTAAGGTTCTGATTAAACTTTCTGTTGTTCTCTATCACCAATCACACAGAACAATTACACATTTCTACAGACTATAGAAGACTCTAGAATTGTACAATAACAGTAGCCACTAGCCACATGTGGCTACTGAGCCCTTGAAATGTGGCAGTCCGAACTGAGATGTGCTGGGAGTGTAAAATACACCCTGGATTTAAACACTTAAAAAGAAAGAAAGAAAGAAAGAAAGAACTATTGAAATATTGAAGCTGTAATATTTAATATATTGAGTTAAAATTATCTCTAAAGCATTTTTGTTTCTTTTTAATACTTTTAAAAGAATGTGTTGCCCAACCAGCTCGTGGTATGGTGGTAAAGGCAGCTGGGTCCAACATGGCCAACTATGCTATTCAAGTTCTGGACCCAGTGGCTTGAAAACCATGCTGAGTGTGCATGCTGTGTACTCAAAATCCTGAGAGAGGAATGGAGCAGAAGGGACTGTGATGTGGCTAATCTCCCTTAGGATGTGCTCGCTTTCGCACTCTCTCTCTCTCCCTCCCTCCCTCATTGTCTCTATAGCAAGAGCCCACATCCTAAAGCAAATATTTTTTTCCTTCTTTCTTTTTTTTAAAGAGAGGTTTTTGCTATAGGGTGCATGCGCTCACCAGAAAGACAGAGTGAGACAGCGAGACAGTGAGAAGTCACCCCCCCACCGGGGCGGGGGGATAGGGGTGGGCACACCGCAATCCCTTCTCCTCCATTCTCTTCTCTGGATCCTAGACATGCATGCACACACCTGGTGTGAGTTTAAGCTGCTGGGTCCAGACCTCGAACTGTGGTCAACTACATAGGAGTCCAGCAACATAGCCATTATGCCAACTGCTGGTCCCCAAACAAATATTTTTAAACAGGGCTACAAAAATTATAAATTACAAATGAGGCTTATATTTCTATTTAACTGAGCTGCTCTAAGTTTTTTGTTTTGTTTTGTTTTGTTTTAAAGACAGGGTCTTGCTGTGTTGTCATTCTTTTACGTAGGCATCCTAGCTTGAACTCTAGGCACAAACCACCGTTCTGACAAGGTCTCACTATATTGCCCAGGCCAGCCTCGAGCTCACAGTCCTCTCACCTCAACTTCCACAAGTCACTAGGATTGTGGGCCTACGCTACTGCATGCAACCTTTAGGTGAGACTAGAAACTGAACGCAGGCCTCCCATGCAGTCCCAGCCTGTGGACCACATGCCACAGCAGTTGAGTCAAACCCAAAAAAAAATATATATATATAAGGTTTTTGCCATAGGGGGGCATGTGCTCACTGGAGAAAGACAGAGGGAGACAGAGACAGAGAAAGTGAGAAATCGAGAAATCGCCCCCCAGTGGGATGGTCATGCCACAATCCCTTCTCCTCCATTCTCCTGCAATCTTGGGAATGCACACACATGTAACCGGTTGAATTGCTTTTCTTCCTTTTTTTTTTTTTTTTGGTTTTTGCTACAGGAAATGTGTGCTTGCCAGAAAGAGAGCCAGAGAGACAGAAAGTGAAAAATCACTCCCTGGGGGGATGGCCATGCCACAATCCCTCCTCCTCCATTCTCCTCTTGGGATCTTAGGCATGCACGCACACAGATCTGGTATGAGCTTAAGCCACTGAGTCCGGGACTCAAACCGTAGTCAACTACATGGGAGTCCAGCGACATAGCCATTACACCAACTGCTGGTCCCATATCCGGTGTGATTTTCAAACTACCAGGTCCAGGACTCGAAACATAGTCAATCGCTATAACTTAAATACTATACTATCTGGGGGATCAGCAGGTGGCATGGTGGTTAAGGCACTGGATACTCCCACATGGTCAACCATGGTTCGAGTCCCGGACCTGGTGGCTTGCTTTCTCACTTCAATTCTCTCTCTCTCTCTGTGTGTGTCTCTCTCTGGTCAAATTAAAATAAATGAATGAATAAAATTAAATAAATAATTTTAAAAAATACTATACTATCTGTTGGTTCCAAACCTAAAAATTTGAAGAGGAACACTGCAACGTAATTGAACCCTTATAAAGTTACCAAAGTATGCTATGGGAAATAAAACTGAAAACATAGACTATTGGTGAGAACAGGGCCCTAACTCTCTATCGACTTTATTTATTCTTTTTAAAGAAGTTCTTAGCTTTTTTGTAAAGATTTATTTTATTTTATTTATTTATTACCATCATTCTTCAGTTTGACCACGGAGAGACAGAAAGGGAGAAAGAGTATGAAAGCAAACTGCCAGGTCCAGGACTCGACCTACAGTCAGCCATGTGGGAGTTCTGAGCCTTAACCACCATGCCTCCTGCCAGACCCCAACTCCACTGACTTTAAATTTTATATTTCCTCAAGAAAATGAACAATGATATATGGAAAACTTACAGGCACTTTTCAAATTCTGGTAGAACAGTTCCTAATTGCATTCGCCGACGAGTTACATCAAATGGGTAACTAAAGGAAGAAAAAGGAATAAAGGCTTAAAAATAATTTTCACTTTTCTTCTCAACAACTATTAAATGCAAAGACCTACACATGCTAGGAAATAATGTATCTATTTTCTTGTTCTTTTCACTAATTTGCAAGTCAAGACATAGGCACACCAATAAAATCTATTACCACACAGGAGTCTCCTTGCCTTTCATTATGTGGTTTCCTCTGGTTAAGGATTCTTCTTTCCTATAACTACAATATCAAGTTCTATTCCAAATTACATGCCACTTTTTGAAGAAACAAACTGGATGTTTCTCATTGTTGTAAGCATAAAAAGGGATTTCTTGGGACCAGAGGAAGGCTTAATGGTTACATTGCTGAACTCCCACGTAGCCGACCATGGTTCAAGTCCTGGACCTGAAGCTTGAAATTCACACCGGGGGCATGTGTGCAATCTCCTCTTCTCCAAGAAGAAATTAGAGAAGAGGGGATTGTAGCATGGCCATCGTCCCTTGGGGGTGATTTCTCACTTTCTGTCCCTCTGTCTCTCCAGTGAGCGCATGCGCTCTTTAGCAAAAAAAAGTCTCTTTAAAAAAAAAAAGGATTTCTCAGTGTGGACACTACTGACAATTTTGGTTGGACCATACTTTGTTGTGGAGGACTGTCCTGTGCACTGTAGGATGTATAAGTGTATCCTTAGTTTCTGCCCACTAGATGCCAGTAGGGCTCCTTTGGCTGTGGCAACCAAAAATGTCTCCAGACATTAATGAATGTCCACTGGGAGCAAAAATCACCCCAGTCAAGAACTACTACCTTCTAAGTATTCAGCAACTTTCCTCAAATTTAGTAGATCAATACAAAATTTTCCTGAAGGGCTAAAATTAATGATACAGATAATTGCATTTCAAGGATAGAGAAAATCTTAGCATAGTTTAAAATGAAGCATGCAAAAGTAATCACTCTTAGGAGTTATACTCGAGGTAATTTTTAAAAATTATTTTATTTTACTAATATTAACTAGTTGTCCTAACTCCTGTGCTAAACATTTAGTGTCATCTTCACACAATTACATGAGGTAGACATTGTTAACCCAGCATTAAGGTAAAACACTCCAGTGCCACAAAGCTGCTTTGTCCTATCCTACTTGAAGTTCTCCTTAATATCTAATATATACATTAATAATGTCTGATAAAAGTAATTACATATTTTATATACATTTATATTTACTGAAATAGTTATGACAAAGAGCTAAAACACCTATGCATCAACTAAGCGATTTTTAAAAATATAACATTACCAGTAGTTGAAAACTCCCTGTATACCTCAATAGCATCCCCACGAATTTTCTGTTTGTTTGGCTTGGTTTTTGATTTTATAAATGAGAGAAAGAGAGAGAAACAGAGAAAGAGGTTTTGATAGGGTCTCACCATGTCTGGGTTCTCCTGCCCTACTTTCCAGTTATTTAGAACCACAGATATGCACGGCCATGCTTGGACTGTTTATGTTCAATCAGAAACCACACCCGGGACCCCCCCCATGAGGCCAGCATCACACAGTGGCACCCTACTGCTTATGCCACCATAGCTGGGTCTCGGGAAGATTTTTACGTTTATTCATTTATTTCCTTCATGAGCAAGACAGAGAAAGAGAGAGAGAGAAAGCATCTCCAACAGGGTTTTGATGCCACAATCCACTTCCAGCTGTCAGTCAATCCCAGATCACGGACAAGCACGAGCCTAAGGTGTTCCAAGAAGTCTCTGGACTTGAACCTCCCCCTGTGGGATTGCCTTGCACAGCACCACATTTTACTGCTGCACCACTGTCTAATCCCAGAAATTACGATTTTTTTCTTTACTTAGGATGAAGTGTGAGTACATGTACATGAGAGTGAGAGAAAGAGAAAAAATAGAACTCTCCACCGGGTCTGGTTACATCATGATCCCCTTCCTCCGGCCCTCAAGCCCATCGGATCTTGAGCAGTCACACATTCACTGGAGTGTTTCAGGCTGACCAGGCCATAGGGCAATACACTCATGAGAAAGAGAGAGAGAGACCACTTGCCGACGGGACATGGTCACACCGCAATCCCTTCTCCTCTCTCTCCACCCCGTCAGGACTTGGGGCATGCACAGACATGTGCCCTATATGCCCTTCAGGCCATCAGGGTCTCCGGCCGTAAACTGATCTGACTCCCAATGCACAGCACTTTAAGCACTGTACACTGTACACTGTACCACTTTAAGCACTTTAAGCTCGCCCTCAGGAGTTATATTTTAACAGAGGAGGAAACATTAAAACATGTTATGAGAGTAAGAAGAGCACAAACCTCGACCTAAGGAATTAAGTTCCCAAACAGGAAAAGATGTATATGAGTTGAAGTAACCGATTATTAATAAGGAGAGAAGGTAAGAAAACAGGTATCAAAGACCAGAACTAGAAAAATAACTAAGAGAAAGAAAGAAAATAGCATTCTAGGCAATGTTCTGAAGTAAAAATATGACAAGTGTTAGTGACTATTTGAACATGTACTACACAAAAGATGATTTAAAGTTATTAGGACTAGTAGATTAGTAGTTATCAATAGCAAATAGGGAAGCAGAAAGTTGAGGAGTAAAACAAAAAGCAAGATAAGAAGGTAATATTTGAATTAAGGAGTTTGTGCTGATGGCAGAAGAATCAAGTAGAAATAGCCAAAAGTCCAAAAGCTTTGCTGGAGATGTCATGGAAAGTCAGAAATGGAGCTTTAAATAGATCTGGTTATTTATACAGAGGTGACCATCGAAACCATGAAGATAGATGAGCTGTTCAAAAGCATACAGGAAAAGAGGACTGAAGTCTGGCTGGGCCTTAAAACCTCTGCACAGACAGGTAAGAAGAGGAGGGTGTAAATCACTAAGATAACCTGAAAAGGAAGGGTCGAGAAAGGTAATTGCCAAGAGAGGACCCTGTTACAACAGCCAAGGAACTAGAACAACTAAAAGGAGAGTAAAAAACCTAAAAAAGGAACCACTGGATTAAGGATTGATGGCTGCAGAATACAGTTTGAGAAGAGAAGCATGAAAGAGAAGATAGGTTCTGAGGATCCAGGTTGGGAATATGTCAAAGGAAGAGAGGAAACAAAACCAAGAGGAGAACCATAACAGCCAGAGGCGAGCATGTCTCTGTGAACGAACAAGGTTCCTCACCCAAACTTCCCAAAGTATATCACACTTTTTCCTCTTTACCTTCAATCTAGTGTAATCAACTTCCATTCACAGAAACACTGAATCTGCGTTAGCAAAAGAAACATTTAACTGTAAAATTCATGAACACTCTACTATATCTTATTTTGACTCTTCCCTTCCCATTGTATACTCGTTTAATTTTTTTTTTGCTATAGGGCGCGTGCGCTCGCCAGCCAGACAGAGACAGAGAGAGAGAAAGCGAGAAATCACCCCCTAGAGGGGATGGCCACGCCGCAATCCCTTCTCCTCCATTCTCCTCTCGGGATCTTGGGCACGCACGCACACGCGCCGGGCGTGAGTTTAAGCCACCGGGTCCGGGACAAGAACCGCGGTCGACTATGTGGGAGTCCAGCGACATAGCCACTACGCTAACTGCTGGTCCCAAGAGTTTAATTCTTTGTGCCACTACTCTTTCTTCTCTTTCTGTTTTTCAGGACCCTCCTTCTCAGTCACAGAAAGGTTTTCTTTTTATTCTAAAAAGCTCCTGTGTCTTAATATTCCAGACTCTTTTTATCTCACTGTACAAAATCTCTCTTGGTGTAGGGAGAGTCCCTATTTTGGTTAAAAAATTATTTATTTAATTTTGTTCATTATTATTCTAATTTGGTATAAGGCACATGCACTCACCAGATAGCCACAGAGAGAGAAAGAGAAAGAGAGAAAGTGAGAAAGCAAGCCGCCAGGTCTAGGACTCAAACCGCGGTCAGGCGTGTGGGAGTCCAGCGCCTCAACCACCATGCCACCTGCTAATTTCGGGACAGTCATTACAGCTACCTTCCCAACTCCACACATATGCACACACTAAATGGCTCACATTTCAGAAAGTTCATATAGGCAAATTCATGAGAAAATACAGATAGATTATATTTAGTGTTTCTTGTTTTCTTTCTTTTAAAATGAATCTATAGAAATTGGTTACATTCAAATTAATTTGGTCAATTTGGTGTGTAATTACTGAATATGCTTAGAGTGCAGGCATATCTAAAAAATGTACTAAAGTAACATCTATATTTTTCAAAGAATCCTGTTTTTGAGTAAATTTTGGGAAAAAATAAAATGTTAATCAATGATGAAAATCAGGATGGGGTAACTGCAATTTGATTGAATTAAGTTGATGAAGAAACTTACGATATTGTCTGTGCTATTGCTCCAGCAACACCACCACAAAGTAAGTTTATGTGAGTTTTCAAAACTAAGACATTAGGATTGTCTGATGAAGGTCTGCCAAGAAGGGTAGGAGCATGAGAAAGCCCAACACTCTTTAAGGTACCAAAAGTAAAAAATGAAACACCTGAAAAACAAAATATAAATTCACCATGATGCTTACCAGAACATGAGCTGTGAAAAAGATACCATTCTTACATAATAACCAACTAACTCAGGGAACTAACTATACATTTCCTAATTTCAGATGTTTGGCTTAATCTAAGATAAAAAGATTTAATTAGTGTTGATATATAACCTAAAGATTAGAAAATTATCACCTATGCAAAAGCATAGATTTGGTTTTCACAAACTAACATATACAAGAGGTCTTCAAAAGTTCAAGCGAAACATATATCAAGAAAAAAACTATGTATGGATTGCAAAATTTTTTGCACAAAAAATAAACCTATATGTCAATTCAATTTTCAATGAACTTTTTAAAGTCCTTTCATAGTCCAGTGCACTGGAGGCAGTGGTGGACATGTATATATGAATAGAATTAAACAATTTCCCAAGGTTTCCCATGAGTAAAAATTAAATTCATGATTAAAAATTACAAGTAAACACGACAACTTATATTTATAATAACAATGATGGTAATAATGTAAGACAGAGGCAAAAAATACAGAAGTGACAGCATTGTGTAATTCAGTGTCTAATTTTGTCTTCAAAGAACTATGACCAGGAGAGAAATGTTTGTATTAGCCCACAAGACATGTAGAATCTAGTAAATATAGTGTACAGTTCGTGTTTATTATACATTTAAATGATTTTATAATAAGACCACTAAAATTGTTTAATAAAAGCAAGGATGGAATTTAAGCATTCCTTATGCCTAAGTATTACTCAAGATACATTGACATCTACTAGATTTTTAAAAAATACTTATAAATGTACTTGATACTTAAGAACAAATAAGTACTGATTAAAATAAATAAATGAATAAATAAAAAATAATTCTTTTTTAAAAAAATGGATCAGCAGCTGGCATGGTGGTTACGGCTCTGGACACTCCCACATGGCCGAACATGGTTCAAGACCTGGACCTAGTGGCTTGCTTTCTCACTTTGTCTCTCTCTCTCTCTCTCTCTCTCTCTCTCTCTCTCTGTATCTCTCTGGTCAAATTAAAATAAATAAATGAATAAATAAAAAATAATTATTTTAAAAAAATAAGTACTAACAAATACTCAGTTTAGGATAATACTGCATGTATGCATTTATTCTTTATTTTAAAAATCTTAGAATCTTATAGTATCTCAAGATGATATAACTAGAAAGTATCTATATACTTCATATTTGAGGAATCTATTTTAAGGACTTAACATAAAATGTTAATGATTAGGAAATTTATAGTAATTAAACACGAGCACAAAAGAAAGTACCTAAATGGTATAGAATGCGTTCAGTATAATATGACACAATTAACAATATAATATGACACAATTAACAAAATGATGTTTGTAAAGAGTATTCAAATCATGGAAACTATAGAAAATAGGGCAAAATTAAGAGACAACATTGCATATTCACTATAATTATATAAAAATACATTTAAAAAACTAAAGACCCAGATGTGGTGACATAAGCAATGGCAGTCCTGCTGCACGATGCTGGAGACTACATGGGTGAGTTCCAGGTTCATGTCCTGGATCTACCGCATCATGCCGGTGTGACCAGACAGGTGATCCTGGCTGGCTTCACAGCTTGAGCAAGGGGGATCACAAAGTGAGGACCATATTGAAGGTCCCCCTCTCTCTCTCTCGTGAAGGAAATAGTTTATTAAAAACAAACAAAAAAAAAAACCATGGGGCCAACAGATGGCATGGTGGTTAACGGCGCTAGACTCCCACATGGCCGACCCATGGTTTGAGTCTAGCAGCCTGCTTTCCCACTTTCTCTTTCTCTCTCTCTCTGTCCCTCTCTGGTCAAATACAAGTAAATAAATAAAGTTAAATAAGAATAATTCTTTTAAAAAAAGAGAAGAAAAGAATATCAAGGGTGAGCAAGTGGTGTGGAGGTGAAAGGTAGCTGGATCCCATAAGGCAGACTGCACAGTTAGAGGCCTGGATTCAGTGACTGGAGAAACATGCCAGGCATGTGTGCATGCATACCCAAAATCCCATGAGGAGAACAGAAGAGAAGTAATTGCAGCATAGCCGTCCACCCTAGGGGTGATTCCTCACTTCTACACACACACTCACACACTCTCTCTCTCTCCCCACGTCCTATAGCAAAAATTAAGAAAACAACAACAACAAAAATAAATAAGTAAAAAGTAAGAAGAAGAAAATATAACAAAATTAGAGTTCTGCTTCCAGCATAATACCAGTCTAAGTATTTGGGGAGACTCTGCCATTGCAGAACATCTACATCCATTACTGGGCTTGCAAAAAGAATGGGAAGGTCTCTAAGGATCACCCCAGCACAAATACCTCCCAAATATATCAGCTGAGGCCTGACTGGGAGTAGTGGGCCTATGAGAGATAGGGAGTGACTTCTGCACAGAGATGTCAGGGGCAGCAGGGCCACTGAGATGGGTTCTGCCATTGGGCCTACAGAAGTGGAATCACTGGGTTTGAGATTCCAGGCAGAGACCAATTCTCAACAGGAGCTCCTGGCAGAAGTTGTTCATTCAAACATACTTTGGAGAAAAAGTATTCTCAACTGACAGCTCTAGAATACTCAGAGGTTAAGGTTAAGCAATGAGCTCCTAATCAAAGACCACCAACCATAAAAGGAGACCCAAAAAAGTATATAATTATAAAAGATAGGGAGAGGGGCTTGCAGGCGGCATGGTGGTTAAGGTGGCTAGACTCCCACATGGCTAACTGCAGTTCAGGTCCCAAACCTGACAGCTTGCTTTCTCACTTTCCTTCTCTCTCTCTGTGCCTCTCTGGTCAACTTCAAAAATAAAATAAAGATAATGACAATGAATAAAATTAAATAATTATTTTTAAAAAATAGGTGGGGGAGTAAAAATTTAAAAACATAAACAAATAAGGTAGTAGTAAAAAGAAATATGAAAAAAATTGGGGCCAGCAGGTGGTGTGGTTGTTAAGGGCACTGGACTCCCACATGGCCAACCACAGTTCAAGTCCTAGACCTGGCAGCTTGCTTTCTCATTTCCCCTCCTCACTCTCTAACTCTGCCCCTTTCTGGTTGAATAAAAATAAATAAATAAATAAAGTTAAATAAAATAATTATTTTTTTTTAATGCAGCTACATAATATTTACAAAAGAGGTAGCTAGGGACCAGCAGTTGGTGTAATGGCTATGTCGCTGGACTCCCATATAGTCAGCTGTGATTCGAGTCTCAGACCTGGTGGTTTAAACTCACGCCAGGTGTGGGTGCATGTGTGCACAAGATCCTGAAAGGAGAATGGAGGAGAAGGGATTGCGGCATGGCCATCCCCCCTGGGGGGTGATTTCTCGCTTTCCATTTTTCTGTCTCTTTCTGGTGAGCACACGCGCCCTATAGCAAAAACCTCTCAAAAAAATTAATTAAAAAAGATGGGGAGCCATCAAATGGCATGGTGGTTAAGGGCGCTGGACTCCCACATGGCTGAGTGGGTTTGAATCCTGGACCTGGCAGCTTGCTCTCTTACTTTGTCTCTTTATCTCTCTCACTCTGTCTCTCTAGTCAAATGAAAATAAAGTTAAATAAAATATTTTTTTAAAAAAAGAGAGGTACCTAAAACATAAAAACATGATAAAATACTAAATAAAAGGGTGAAAAAAACTAATCAAGCAATGGAGATAGCAGGTGGACTGGTATTTAAGGTGATGGACGCCCACATGACCAAACACAGTTTGAGTCCCAGACCCAGCACCATGAAAATCACACTGAGCACATGGGTGTGTATACCCAAAATTCCCAAAGAATGAAGAAGAAGGGATTATGATAAAGCCATCCCCTCTTGGTGATTTCTCACTTTCCCTCTCTCTGTTTCTCTATCTCTTGCTGGTTAGTGCATGTGCCCTATGACAGAAACCTAAAAAGAAGACTAATCAGGAAAATATTAACTTGGATGTACTCAAAAACTGATTATGAGATGGAGAAATTTAACATAAACAATGATAGTAGATGGGCGATATTAAGATATTATGGGACCAGCACATGGTATAATGGTTACATCACTAGACTACCATGTAGTCAACCACGGTTTGAGTCCCTGACCCAGAGGCTTAAAACTCATGCTGGGGCGGGACCCGCAGTTAGCGTAATGGCTATGTCACTGGACTTCCATGTAGCTGACCGCGGTTCGAGTCCTGAACCTGGTGGCTTAAACTCACACCGGGCACATGTGCATGTGTGCCCAAGATTCCGGGAGGAGACTGAAGGAGAAGGGATTGCAGCATGGCCATCCCCCCTGGGGGGTGATTTCTCGCTTTCTGTCTCTCTGTCTGTCTCTCTCTTTCTGAGGAGCACATGAGCCCTATTGCAAAAAACTCTCAAAACAAAACAAAACAAAACAAAACAAAAAAACTCATGCTGGGGTGGTAGGGGAGTTAGCAGGTCATGTGCGGTAGCTAAGGGCCCTGGACTCCCACATAGGCAACTATGGTTCAAGTAATGGACTGGTAGCTTGCTTTCTCACTTTCCCTCTCTCTCTCACACACACTGGTCAAATTTTAGAAATGAATGAATAAGTAAATAAATAAATAAATAAATAAAGTTTAAAAAAAAAAAAAAACCTCATATCAGGCACATGTACATTCATACCTAAGATCCCATGAGGAGAATGGAGAAGGGATTGCAGTGTGGCTATCCCCCTTGGGGGGGGGGGAGCGTGATTTCTTGCTTTCTCTCTGTCTCTCCAGTGAAGCCACACACACTATAGCAAAAATCTCTCTCTAAAACAAAAAAGAAATTAAGAAAAAATTTTTTTTAGTTTTCCTATGGCCAAAAAAAAGGAAACAATAAACAAAAAGAGGGACCAGCAGTTAGCATAATGGCTATGTCGCTGGACTCCCATACAGTCGACAGCGGTTCACGTACCGGACCCGGCGGCTTGAACTCACACCGGGCGCGTGTGCGTGCGTGCCCAAGATCCAGAGAGGAGAATGGAGGAGAAGGGATTGAGG